GCGTTTGATGTTAATGACAGCATCGTCTGCATTGTCGTGTCACAATCTCGCACATCTACATCATCAAAAGACCCACGCGTTTGGATAACATTCTCACGCCTGACAAAAAATCACTTGGAAGAGAATCGGGTTTGCAGGCATCTCGGTGAAGATGAGTTTACAAACCCTTTTTCTCGCATTCCCACGCAAGTCAGGTTTAATAAGTAAACATCTGAGCATTTCATTTAATGGGTGCATCACTACCACCAAGAACTGGTGTTGACAAAAAGCACAGGATATGGATAACAACACTGAAACTGGCTCAGATGACACATACACATCACCCTGATCCAGACTGTTTGACGATAATGTGGAAACAAAAAACATATCTGCTATATCAGTCATCTCTTAATGACCAAGGTAACGCTGGACTGAATGCTAAGCTGACAGTGACATTCACTCTAATTTCACCATGAGCAGCAAGAGGCTCAGCTATCACTCTCCTTTCAGGGTAAAGCTTTAGACTGCATCGTCATCATACGGCAACTTTATCTACCTGCAGTTGCATCACTGCTCAGTATTCACATGTACAACTCACTGCCAAGTGTAGGCCCCGCCTTTGAGAAGAGAGCAAAATGCTGAGAGTTAAAGCTAGATTCTCCCACAGAGTGAATCACAGAGCCCAGGACAGAGACTTGCTCCTGCATTCTCCTCCTCTCCCAAACAGCTGACAGACTTACACAGTGGGTTCGGTGGCTGGTAGCCAATCTTGCCTCCCTCATCCTGTGAGATGAGCTAAGCCATCCCTTTCAAAATTTGGAGGAAAAAAAATCTCATCTCCCTCTGTAAGGGAAAAGCAGCAGTCCCCAAAAAAGAACACTAAAAGAACACAAAATGAGCCTTTGGAGACTGCTACACACATAACCACAAAAGGGTCTGCATAACCCGACCTTACAGAAGTCTGCATGTGCATTTTAAGTCTGAGTAATTTAGAGACCACTAGCAAAAAATATTGACAAAAATAACAGTCCTGGTGATTTTCCTTAGAGTGAAGGCTAAATTGTCTTTGATGGGCGCCAAAATGTTGTAAATGCAGAACAAACCCTGGATAAGAGCCGACATCAAAACAAACTGCATCTCTCTGGTCATTACTGTGCTACCACTAGGGATGAATAACAATAATGACACTATTTCTCTTTCCTGTATTGCTTTATAGTTCATTGAGGATTTTTTTACATATGGTAAATAGAATTAAGACTACCCTGTTTCTCTGGGAATTAATCCATTGATACATCCAGTTCAAAATCACTGTTAAAAATATACATTTGGCAGATCTTTTTTGATTGTTTTGTTTTTATTTTCTGCCCTAACATTCTTTTTCTAACCCTTATCTAACAGAAAGTCTACTGCTTCTTTCAGGTCTTTAACACACCATCATTAAACATTTAGCCTGTGCAAAACTGACATGACACAACAGATAACTATCCCCTGCCATCACTAAATGTAATCTTCCCTGCAGATAGCATGACAGCAGTCAACAGCTGATGTGCGAGCACTCCTAATGTCCTCTTCACTCACTTTAGTAGGTGCACCTGATCAACTACTCCGTAATGCAAACAAATGATCAGCCAATCACATGGCAGCAACTGGGAGAGCTGGTTGACAAGACCAAGTTCAAAGTGAGCATCACAATGGGGAAGAAAGGTGAAGAGCACAACATACAACATGTCCAACCTATGAATCTCTGCCACAAAGAATTTCTGTTCTCAATGAAAACGGGAGTCGAACCTGGCACTAGCAATACCTAGTAAAAAGTATATAAACTGAATAGCACTTGACTACATCCCCCACTGCTCTGAGCACTCTGAAACCGAGTGCTAGTATTGTAAGCAGAATAAAATAAGCAATGCAGGACATATTTCGAACTTCTTCTTTTTTTTACTATAATCTGATATTTACAGTCAGAATAACTGGATTTCAGCACCTCTCCTCGACCAGTCAGAGGGTTGCGTCTGTGTTTTCCAAACAAAAACAAATAACTCATCCTGTTTATTATTTCAGGTCACAAATTACATCGCTGCTCCAATAATAAAATGCCTAATGACAGAATCCAAATAGAATTAGCGTCCAATAAACAGGATGTTTTCAACCGTATGGTTGTGCTGCTGGGGCTATCACACTATCTATCACATGGTTATCTTAGTACAGTCTCCACGTGGAAGGTAATCTGACCACTGATGGTTATCTGATCATGAATGGCAGACTTCTTGATCTCTCTTGCAAGAAAGATCCACCTGCCATATAAGACGATCTAAGACACATTATCACACTTCAGAAACATTCCGAGTGCTAAGACTCTGAGTCACAGTCTGTATCGTCATGGTGATCAACCTGTCTGGATGGATGAGTGTTAAGAAGACTCACCTTTATTGTTACAGAACACTTTTTGAGGGGGGCGGGGGGGACAAACTTGCAAGTCACTAAACTGCCAAGCTACCGATTAATACCATTTGTAAGGATGGTATTACACAAGCGAACCGTGTGATAGGGTGTAAGTGAATGTCGTGACAAACCGTGTGCTAGGAGCAAGCTATCCGATGAGCTTAGGTCATTTTGCTGAATAACGTCCATCCCCCTAAAGTTATCCAGGTAACTTGAGAATCGTTAGCTACTTAACTAACGTTAGCCATACCTCTTAAACACCTTAGCTTATTCGGCAAGACAGAAGCAGATATTTTCTAACAGGAAATAAAGATGTTAGACAGCTTAACACCATCTATTTTCTCCCTGCTTGTGCTATTTTGTTAGGTTAGCAAAAGAGCTAAACGCCGTGTTAATGGGAGCTGCCATAGCTCCGTGTGCCGCATCAGAGAGGCACAAGCTAGTGTTGCTTAGCTCGGTGAGCTAACAAGCTTCACCGGGCATGCTTACCAAAGTGCACACAGCCCACTTTCAACCTACCTGCGATCACCGCTGCGACCCTGAAGATGCCCCGTGTATGCCGTCACCAGTGTATCACGAGCCGTGCCCTGCCAAAATAATTCAAATTCCACAGAAAGTGTCGGGAGAGACGCTCGCAGTCCAATCGCTTCAGCCACCGCCGCTGAATGGCTGCTACTCGGAGCCTCAATCAAACTTCCTCCTTAGCAACGGACCGCCTCCGCGTGACCCCCATTGGCCGGCGCGTGTACATCGAAGGTGATCGATGGTCGATAGTGCAACCTGGATCGAAGCTCAGTTTCACTCTTTATGCTGTTCGTCTCGTAGTTATTAAGAGAAGCAGGCGTGAAAGCACATTGTAAGACACCGCTTCTGTCTATCGGGTTTACCTCCAATTAAGATGCACCTGTAAATATATAACTACTATAATCTGACCTGAAGAGTGTGTGGTGGATTATTGTTACAACTAATAAGTTGTAAGCAACACTTTACTTTTCGTATTTTGTCACAGTGGGGCTGATTTCTATATAAGCAGGTATCAAACTGTATGCATATGTTCTCATTAAGTTTTCTTGTATTTCATACATTAGTGCTATTTTCCTCTCAAATGTAGTAGGGTATGTAAAGCACCACTGCAAACGTTCAGTTGCACCACTTTTAACGAGCACCTTCATTACAAATTCATTGTCTGGGTGATATGCAAATATAACCCTGTCAGTGAGGTCACTCCTGCTACGACAAAAAATTAGGGCAACAGTGCAGTGCCATCCAGAGTTTCACCGTAATCATCCTTCCTGTGTAGGCCATCACGTTCTCACCACATAACAAAAACGAAGCTCGTTTAAATGAGTGAAACGTGTTTCTTTTCTTATACATCCAGTTAAAGGCTTCCTCCACTCCCGCTGTCTTCACTGACCCCTTGAAAAGGCCAGAAGTTTATCAGCATAAAGTTGCATTCCTCGCATACCTTTAAATCCTTGTAAGCTGCAGTGGAGCTTGTATTGTGTCCTCAAAGGTTATGAAACCAACAAGGAGGGAAACAAAAAAAACCTTTGATTCACAAAGTTGTCAAGCCTGTTATGCAGCCTTGCACAGTATCTTTAATAATCATCACAGTGCCCCAGCAGTGACCTCCCAGTCTCCAATACGTTGTTAATGCCGATCTTTCCCCCCCCTTAATTATCTAAACTCTTCGAGAGTCTTGTTTTATTTTATTTTTAAATGTATTTAAATTTTGTATATCTATTATTTTTACCACTAGGTTCCATCAGTGAAGTTACCAACGTTATAATGAAAAAAGTTAGCATATTATGCCCCCTGGTGGTCACTTTGTGTGAGTAATGAGTGGTGAACGGTTTCAATCATGTCGCAATGAGTCTACAGATTTTCCCACTTACTGCGTTGCCTAATTAAAAAGATTATTTATGCACACATTGAAGCTAATCATGGCCCTTATTTTTAAAGGGAATACACTCCTAATTTCACGCTGGCCCCAAGTAATGGAATAATCTATAGAAACTGTCAGCATCTGAAGAACTCCAATAAACTACTTGAATTTTTTTGCTTTATATTAAAAATATATATACTTTAAATAAATGTCTCAAATATAATGGACTTGAAAGGGGAACTGCAATGCTTTTCTTTGTATATTTAAATGGATAATTTCAAATAATCTGGTCAGAGTATGTGAAAGTAATGCCTGTGAGCCAAAACCTTACTCCATTTCAGACTCACTTTAGCGTTTGTGATATCAAGGACAGGGGATAGTCTAAAAATGGTTATGTTAGGCACTGAGTCCAAACAACCACTCTTTAAACTTTATGTTTGAGAGGGGCAACCAATGACAAAAAAGAAGGCTTAAAGTAAAAGAAGCTAAACCAGTTGTTTGGCTACACAAAGGAATAAAATGATTACTTTTAACTGTGAATCATGTAAATCTACTCTAGCAGACTCCAAGGATACAAATGAAGTTGGAAATGGCTACAATGTAATTATTCGGATATCCATTGTGAATTAGGATGCAAACATGTACAATGCAAAAAAAGGATTTTTGCTGTTTTATAAAATGATGAAAAGAGCGGTGATGGTGCAGTAATCCAGTTTATTATTCAAATGACTACAACAGCAATGTCTCCATTACCACATTTTATTTTTTCAAACAACATATAGAGAACTTTACACAAAACAAGCCGTTACCTGCTTTAAATATTTACATAAAACTTTGTAGAGACGGAGAAAAAAAAACCATTCTTTGGGTCTGACCATGCAAAACAATAAATAATCTTCCTGACAGTGCTTCGCATGGTGGTTTCAAGACTGCCATTCAGCAATAACAATTTAAAAAAAATTGTTTTCAGATTTTAGTTGACTGCACATAAAACTGCCCTGGTCCACACAGTCATCAGACATGCTTCAACAGCCCAAAAACCTCAAGACTCAGAGTGGGTCAAGTGCAAGTCAGCATATTAGCAACAGTACATTATGCACTCTTTCGTTTCGGGTAATCTTCACTATTCCAGATTGAAGCAACACATAGACCGGAATAGATACAGAAATGAAAAGTGGGATGTGTGATAGTTTTTTGTGAAAAGCGTAGATTACTCAGAAGAACTAAAGCATCCTGGAAGGATGAAGCACTGTACACAGAAGACCTTAGATGTTTTGTTCAACAGGGTCTTAAAATGTTTTCAGCGCGCTCTTGTCCCCAAGACACAATGAGCAGGAGCTAGAAGTTGACTTCAAGACAGTAGAGTTCCCACTACTTTTATCCTTCAGCAAGGCGACAAACAGTGTGCAGACGTGATACCCCAATCCCTTCTGCAGGCTGGGTCCAGAATCTGCTCCTCCCTCTCCCTCTTCCCATTTGCTGTGGCTCAGGTAATGACTTGTGGCTCCCAGGACTGGCTGGCCATCTGGGGGCGACACTGTAAAATGACTGGAGGTCCCATCGGGGTTTGACTGTCCAGGCAGAGGCCACTGACCATGTGCTGCAGAGCTGTGCCCTTTGGCTTCCACTTCTGTAAAGAACAAAAAAATAATTTCATGCTGGTTTGTTAACAGATGTTCGTGCACATTGACTCATTCCTCTTAATCCATTGCTCATAAATGATGTGCATCAGCACAGGAGGTTCATGTTAGTAGTGAGAAATGAACTGAGTCAGGGGTGGATTGCAGTAATCACATGAATGACTGACTTTCTGCACCCTTGGTGGAAAAATCATTGTACAGCCAGCTGCAGAGCACGGCAGCCTGCCATCCCACGAGAGAAGAAACAATTTATTTCTGCTGATAAGATGTCCTGTGTAGGGGCCATTTTCAGTCATGTGCAAATACTGTGTAAAGTTATTTATTTTTATACCTCAGGAGACTTAAAGGGGCTTCAGATGTGGATATAGATTTGTGAGAAAGTAAACTTTCCTTTTTACTTTCCTTCCCCCACCTTCACCATTCTTTGCCCTCAGATCACAAGGTGTCCTGAATCAATCTACATAATGACTCTAATCTTTAATCATAGATAACACAGACTCAATTTGTTAATGCATTTCTCAGAGCTAAACATTAATTCAGAACATCTATTCTCATAAATAACTTAAAATCAAGTAAAGAATCTGGCATTTCAACTACTTATTACTTTTACTTGAATACATGTCATAGAGAATGACTACATTTACTCAGGATTTTAAAAACAAAATATGCAATATCATACCAATAAACTACCCAGTAAATTTGCATAAATTTACAATTGATTCTTTTCGTACACGATTACCTGATCTTTTTTTTTAATTACAAGTATAATGCACAGTCATGTGACCCAAGTCTGAGCAGTTCAGCAATATTATTTTTTCACTAAAACAGTTACAAAGCTGGTCATTCATTTTGTTCCTTTCTTTTTTACAGATGCACTATTCTTGGAGTCAGTTTGCACTGTAACGTTTCAAAATAATCCTAATTTTTTCAGCACTGGGCTTACAGCCCCTCACTTCAGTCTTAAACAAGCCATTTTAGTTACATTGGAGGGGCTACTGGCATACAAACAGTGAGGATATACATCAACACTGACATAATACAAAGCCAGTCGAATATTGTTTTCTACCATCACAGTGTGTAAAGCAAATCTGACAAGAAAGCTGAAAGGAAAGCCTGCCAGAAACACCTGTCCCTCAGGCAGGATGTCTACAAATCACCAGGCATAACTGGTTCCTTTATTGGGTCACTGAGTAAGTACTCAGAGCTGAACTGACTGCCAAGTACAGATATCAAGAGCCACATGGAGGCTTATTAAAATTTAGAGGTGAATGTGGGGTTAATCTTCAAATCCCAGAGACAGCGCATCTGTGTATGCACGTGTTATTACACTGTAACTACTAGAAGAGTGTGCTCAGTCAGAACTTTTGTTTAAGGAGGAAATAATATGTCACTGCGCCAATGCATCAATAAACAGGAGACTGTAATATGCAACTGACACCATTATTTTGTGACCTGTTGGCCAGAGAAACTCCGAGTACTTTATTACATTTATTCATTTTGGCATTGGCTCTAAACAGCTTTTAGACGATCACTGGATCTGATATCGCCTATAAAGCCCTAAACATAATGAAATTCTTTCAGAATTGCTGAAAGACTTGAAAACTGAGAATATGAAAAAGACATTCATGGCAGAAAGGTACTATTCTGGTACTATTACTATAAAGGATTTCAGGCGGTTGTTTAATGTTGACATTTATGTTTTTATAAAGGCTCCATTGTCACTTTATGCCTACAGTGTTAATTATCTTCTGTGCAGCAAAGTCAAAAACACAAGTATTATTTTTCTTTCTCGGGGATTAAAGCCTCAGGACAAAGAGACCAAATGTTCCCCACAGCAATAACTGGTTTCTTGTTGATGGGCATCCTCCCAAAAATACTCTCAAAGGACTTTGATGGGCCAGCTGAGAGATGAGAGGAAAGCCTGGCAAGAATCCGGCACATGGTTTGAGTTAATAACTCCCTCTATGGTGTCATAAATCACCGTTCAGCCAACTCCATTCCCCCTGGGATGCGAGCATTAAATAATCACAAAAAGGAGAACAAGGAAGGAACAGGGTGGGGTCTGAAGTTATGGGAGCATTTGTTCTACTGCATCTATAAAGTCAACTACTCTTATTTGGCAGGATCTGCATCAGTGCAAAACTCAGATTGTCTCAGCCTCCTGGCATCATCAGCAGGCGGGCTGCTGAGCATCTGCGCTGAAACCATCTCTTATGTCCAAATCTTTTATGTTCGACTTCAGGTCTGCAAGTGGCACATCAAGCATGAACAGCTTGATGCCAAAAGTGAAGTAACCTTCTGGAAAACCTAAGATATTAGGTTAACGGTGACTGGCAGCACAAGATTAAAGCATGTCCTGTTTCTTTTCTTAACCCTTAGTTAACACAAAGACAATTGCACAGTGTGTGTGTTAAATGTATGGACACCACCAAGCTCAAGATAAATATGCTCACCTATGTTATCCTTTAAAGCTATTACTATAAAGCTTATTTTTTGATGAACGGCTAAAGTGTCCCTCACTGACTGCTAGCACAGACTGTTTAATTTGCTATGACCGATCCACAGGCAATAGTAAGAAAAACCGCTTTAGTCCAGTTCTTTATGGCTCTGAAAATACAATTTGATCAGCTAACAGTATTTCCTCTTACCTGTCTCGGCTCTTTTGTATTGCAGGGCTCCATCTTGACCTTCGACCCCGCTGTGAAAGCAGAAATTGCCAGGCAAAGGTCCTGCTGCCGGATCAGCGGCTCTATTAACTCCCATCTCTGCAAAACACAGAAAATGTAGGACTGCTATCATCTGAAGGAAGAATGTGAAATAGACCGGTGGTTCTTAAACTGTGGGGGTGGGCCCCACCGATACAGAGTGGTGCCACTACAGGAATGTTGTGGTGACCATGTTAAAAATATGGAGTTAAATTTAAATGTAGTCTTTAATAATGCACTTTTACTAAACTGGTAAAAATGACACCTGTGCATCAGGCACTTTGCTTCAGTGGGTTATGGATTTCCACTAATACGAATAAGAAATCCCATTTTATGCCCAACTTGTTTATAAAGATGCAGTCCTGGGACACGATTTAATTTAATGGGACCATAAGTGAAAATTCTGCACGCTCAAAAAAACTCAAGCACACCTTTTAGTTTATTGAATATTTAAAGGAAGGATCTCTTGCATACTTCAAACAATATGTACCAGTGTTTTTTAAGAGCAAGTCAGGCCACATATGTATAATTAAGCAAGCATTACACACACACACAGAGGCACCTATATTAATATCTACCATTCACTGTTTACAAATTGGGCTGGTGAACAGCAGCATAGAATTTAAAAAGAGTTGCATTTTGCTGAGACAGCTTTAATAGAACTCAATTAGAACCAAAAATGAGAGCGTGCAGGGCAGAGTCTGATGTATTTCTAACAATAACTGTGAGCCACAATAAATCGCCCTCTAGTGGCAAAGTCCAGACCTGCGACTGTGGCCTGTTGGCTCCGAGGCCCCTACACTCTGCCAGCCCGAGGCCGTCGGTCCCACGGGTCTCCAGACACAAACCGCCCTGTTTCAACACACTGGACACTGCTTCCTGCTCAGGGACCCTGTAGGGAGCCAAGAGAGAAGAGACAGGCGCAAAGCCAGTGAAAGGTCTTATTTCAACAATAAAGAACAGATGGATTAAACTGAGTAATTGAATTGCAACGCTAAGTAATGTGCATCATTGCAACATGTTCTGAAAACGATATACAGTTACACTCTGAGAGACCAGACTTATTTGGAGCGGATACAGCTGAAGTGGCGAAGGAGTAGCTTGAGAAAAAAGCTCATGAGATACGAGCTGATAACCCACTCAGAGGTTCCCACCCAGATCATTTATATTTAGATGACTGGCTCTGAACTTCGGGGTAATGGCACCTCGAGGGGTTTTGAGATTACTTCAGGGGGAAACAAAACACGTTATATCTTAAAGGAAACAGAGCTTGAATGTTATTTCTGCTTCACCAGAGCCTCTTCCAGAGATCAATCAGAAGTAAACATAGGTGAAAACATGATGAGAACATTTCCATTTGTTGGATTCTAATAGTGTTTGGAAAAGTCTTTGTCTCTCTTGCATAACAGATAATTCAAAACAGATACTAAAAAGTGATCCACAACAACAACTATGATGCACTGCATAAATAATGTATATCTCCACTGAAAAATGGATGCTCCCCGTGGAGAGTCTGACACTATGACTCAGTTTTCATATCCATCTGCTGATGGAAAAAGTTTTTTTTTCTATGATAGCCATACATATGACCTTACACATGTGAGCAAAAAGAATACTAGTTTTCACACTAGATATTTTCCAGTCATTGCCAATCGAATCTGAACTTTATAAGTGCAGAAAATGCAGAAAGTCTCGTGCCAGTTAATCTTTTAATATCGACTCCTTTAAGTGTAAGTACAGTAATTAATAAAGCTTATGCATAGGTTCAATAAGGGACATCTGTAATCACTCAGCTGTCTGCTTCCTAAGTGTTTGGCTCCTAGTCTATTCTTTACATCACTTCAATTTCTCCACACTGTCAAACTCAATACTAACATGATTACTCATTTTACATTGTGGGCCAAGTACAACCTTCTTTGATGTTAAATAGACTGGACCAAAGAAACTCCCCTTTCTGTCAACCTAACTATACCTTAACTAATCATTGTGAAAAAAAAGACATTTCTATTGTAGGTAGTGAAAAAAACAAGGATTCTTCTGTCATCTAATAGTTTATTTACTACTTCATTAGTTTGGTGTAGTATAAATAACCACAGGGGAGGTTTTTATTATTAGGAAAAGTTGTAAAAGTACAAAGTTTATGACTTCCACTGGGTGGGATTGAAGTCTTGTGTTTGACACTCCTGCTCTAGTCCAATCATTTTCTTACCTGCTTCCTGTGAGCCAATCAGCTTCCATTCTATATACTTTAAATCTCTTTTGTCATTCTGTCTTTCAGGCTCTCGTTTGTGCAACCTGTCTTCTTCCCATCTCTGCCTCACCCGGGTCACTCAGAGCCCCGTCGAAGCCTCCATCTTCATGCTCACCACCACTAGTCTACTAGGCTCCTGTCACTGATAGGATTCCATTCTGCCTTGATGGATCATCGGCATCTAATTACCAAACAGCTAAACTGAATTCTGTGTCTCAGTAAATTGTGTTCAGTTTTTCCAAATGATTCCTCCTTACTGAAATAGTTTTCTGTATGTGATAAAAAATGTTGCAAATTGCACTTTAATTTTTTGTGTTCCAATGCTGTGCCATTAAGGGAGAATTAAACGTTAACCTCGTTACCTCAGCTCGGGATAGACGTTCTCCATGTACCAGCGGAAAGGTTTGCAGTTCAGCTTCCGTCGCAGTGCCAGACGGTCTGTGATACTGCAAGACCAGATAACAAGAATATTTAGGGACAAAGAGAAATAATGTAAAGAGAACACATAAAAAAGATAAGGAGGAGAGAATGAGAAAGAAAATGTGGATTTAACCTTGTGAACCTGCCATCAACAGCTTATGGAGTATGAATTACAGACTCAGCTAACACAGGTTTTCTTTAAAATGTTAAACCAGTGTGTGTGGGTGTTTTATTTACTGAGTTTTGTTTTTTTGCTTCTTACTTCTTATATTTTTGCATTTTTACTGGTGTTGGGCCTTTTATACAAAAGGAACAGAACTTGTAGGTACAACAGATTTGACACTGACAACAGTGTTGAAACTTCATTGTTCTGGTTTCATCTATCAAATGTAAGGGTTTGTTGTCTTAACTTGGCCACCTTGGATTGAGTAACATCATCACAGGCATTTTAAAATTATCTTCACAGAACATTCAAATCCCCTGAATAATCTGTAATTACAACAAATAAATGTTAGTTGAAGTCTCAGTGCATGCAAATTTAAAAATTCGTGTGCAAAGCGTTTTTTAAATGCTTGCATATAAAACTTGGTACCTTATAAACACCTCGGAAACTCAGGAGACACAGAATCATTGTGTTAAATATAAGCAAATATGAGCAAGGAGGATGACATTATAGCAGACAAACCTGCCGAAGGCTTTTCCCTGAGCCGACGGCCTCGCAGAGTAGTAGTACTGTTTATACTCATCCATCCACACTTCAGCGGCCCGACGGGTGTTCCTGTGTGGACAGAGACACAACACCTGCTCAGACACAGTAATGACAGCGCTGCCAGCATTCCTGCAGCCAGCTTTAATGACAGTGCTATGCTTCTGGAGCCTTCATACGTCAGCTATTCTCTGCAGCTCCGCTACAAATATTATTGTGCTTTGAGATCTTACATTTTATGTGCATTTTCAACTAGTAATGTTGGATTTGATTCATAAAAAGCAACATTATCTAAAGAGTCTGTCAGCAACAGCACATTATGGGTAATTATACAACAGTTCAAAACCTGCAAACCTGCTGCTTTAGTCTTCCCAGACAGAGCCAGATATTTGTGAGCAACTCCACCTTTACTAGGTATTAAGAACACTAATGTATAATGAGCTCTGCGGATGCTTTCATAGTTCTCTTACACACTCATCTCTCACTGGCACTTGCGTCAAGATCTGTGAAAAGTGTGAGTTTGCCTGGCGAAGCATTTAACTTCACACTGAGTGGAGCTGAATCATGTGACATTTGAGATTTTAGGGCGAACAACAAGCGAAACGTCATTCTGTTGTTTCCGTGTTAATAACTGTCATCGGTCAGACCAGCCTACTCACTTAATGTAGGTAAGAGCGTTGCCCTCTGGGAAATCGTACGGGTGCCGTTTCCTGAACACATGACCCACACGGCTGCAGGGAAGAATCTCCAGACTTCCTCCGCACAGCCACACCCGGAAAGAAAGCTCTGCAAAAGGAAAGATGCAGTGGTTGAGTCCAAAAATGCAGGCAAACCACTGAAGATGTGCCTGTCATTTTGTCAGTATCTCCTAGAATGAATGCCCTGATGTGTATCATTCCAGTATCAGTGCAGTATGCCTGCTACTGTTTCCTGTAGCAGATGGCTGTTAGCTGTAAATCATCAGAATGAAAGCAGTCATAGTGGATCATTCAAATTCCAGGGACATATTTAGCATTTTGGAGATGCCGGGCATTCAAAAGAGCCAGGCATGCAGACTTAACACATGAAATCATTTCATGGGAAACGGCTTCGTCTTTTACAAAATAAATTGCACTAAATTGACACAAAAATTATCTTCTTTAATATGTGATTAAATTATTTTTGTTAGAAAACCTTGTAAACACAGGACTTAGTATTTATTTTAGACTGAATGAGAAAATTATTCATAAACATTATGACTTTTATTTTGGTAAGTACATGTGCTAACTCTGATCCTCCTACTTTCCTGCTCCTAGCCAACACTAGGTAATTGTAAATGTCATCAATTAACATAAACTTGTTAGGAATCCTTCACCTTGAATAAAGTTGGGAATATTGACATTGTTAGAGTCTGGTAAGTCTTTGCCAGCAGAGTAAGGCTTAGTTTTATTTAAAGACATTTGGTGTGGGATGCGTGTGGAGGATGGTATGATAATAAAAGTCATCTGATTCAAGTAGGGTTAGAAATCATCGATGATCTCACCAAAGTTCTCCCCTCCCCAAATGTCCATGTGGGTGTCATACTGGCCGAGGTGGTTGAACCAACTCCTGTCCATGACGAAGATCCCACCAGCGATGACGGGAGTCCTGCAGAGTAGAGGAAGGGAAGGAGTTACAAATCTTCACTTGCACGCTTATTCAGGCAGACCTCATCAGAATCACCAGAAGGGAATATATTCCAGAAAGAAACAACAAATCAAAGGAGCTTAAAGTTGTATTTTGCTCAGCAGATGTTATGCATTAACTACTTTGCTGCGATTTGGACGTGTTTTAGGGGGAAAACACACCACAAAAAGACTGCAAATACCAACATAGAAAGGACCTGACTATGATGATTTATCTTGAACTTTTGTAGAGTAAGATAAGTCTCTCTATTTTAACTTTAGTCTAATCCAAGAACTAAAACTGACATATTAATCCATAATGTGTTATTCACATACAATATACAGTCACATCTTGCTGGTACTGGGGTTGGATTCTATTTATCCCTCAGAGCTGCCTTAATTTTCTTATGGCACAGATACAATAAGGTGCTGGAAACATTCCTCTGAGATTCTGGTCGATGTTGAAATGACAGCATTGCACAGTTGTGGCACATTTGCCACGATGTGACTCTCCTGTTCCACCACAGGTGGCTATTTGAGTACAGTGTCATCTTCAAGAAACCAGTCTGAGATGATTTGAGCTTTGTTACTTTGGGTTCATCTATCATGCTTAAAGTCACTGAAATCACTTTTCCTCCCCGTTCTGATGCTTGGTTTGAACTTCAGGGGGTCATCTTGACCATCTAAGTGTCTAAACGCACAGAGTTGCTTTCATATTGGTGGATTAGATACTGGCATTAATGAGCAGTTGAACACACATGTCTATCATATCTAATGAAGTGGCTTGTGAGGGTATAATGCATAAGAAAATGTTCCAAGTATGAGTCAAAGCATATTATCACACTAAATATCATTGTAGACATACCTTATTGCCTGAGTGGGGTCACTTCTTGCCATCTTTTGCTCAATGGGAATCTGCTCCCACTTGAAGTGGAGACTCCAGTCAAATCCTGACAAAAAAAAAAAGCATGGGGGAAGCAAAAGGTCAGCTCTCATCTTCAAATTTATATTCCTGTTGTCTAGACATGAGTCCAAAGCAGACAAGATAGATATTTTGGCTGTAGTCAGTTGCATGATTTCACCTAATATACTGGCCTGAATTTAATATCAATC